GATGCACTGCCCGTTCTGGCAGAGCCGGGGCAGCACCTTGCACTCATCGATGTCTGCGGGGGAGGGAGAAAAGGGGGAGGGGAAGGGGAAGAAGGGAGAGAAAGACAAGGGAAAGGGAAAGGGGAAATGGGAAAGGGAAAAAAGGAAAGAAGGGAAAGAAGGGAAAGCAAAAAGGGAAAAGGGAAAGAAAGGAAAGAAGGGAAAGAAGGGAAAGAAGGGAAAGAAGGGAAAGAAGGGAAAGAAGGGAAAGAAGGGAAAGAAGGGAAAGAAGGGAAAGAAGGGAAAGAAGGGAAAGAAGGGAAAGAAGGGAAAGAAGGGAAAGAAGGGAAAGAAGGGAAAGAAGGGAAAGAAGGGAAAGAAGGGAAAGAAGGGAAAGAAGGGAAAGAAGGGAAAGAAGGGAAAGAAGGGAAAGAAGGGAAAGAAGGGAAAGAAGGGAAAGAAGGGAAAGAAGGGAAAGAAGGGAAAGAAGGGAAAGAAGGGAAAGAAGGGAAAGAAGGGAAAGAAGGGAAAGAAGGGAAAGAAGGGAAAGAAGGGAAAGAAGGGAAAGAAGGGAAAGAAGGGAAAGAAGGGAAAGAAGGGAAAGAAGGGAAAGAAAAGGGAATGGGAAAGAAAGGAAAGAAGGGAAAAGGGAAAAGGGAAAGGAGGGAAAGGGAAAGGGAAAGGGAAAGAAGAGAAAGAAGAGAAGAGAAAGAAGGGAAAGGGAAAAGGGAATGGGAAAGGGAAAGAAGGGAAAGAAGGGAAAGAAGGGAAAGAAGGGAAAGAAGGGAAAGAAGGGAAAGAAGGGAAAGAAGGGAAAGAAGGGAAAGAAGGGAAAGAAGGGAAAGAAGGGAAAGAAGGGAAAGAAGGGAAAGAAGGGAAAGAAGGGAAAGAAGGGAAAGAAGGGAAAGAAGGGAAAGAAGGGAAAGAAGGGAAAGAAGGGAAAGAAGGGAAAGAAGGGAAAGAAGGGAAAGAAGGGAAAGAAGGGAAAGAAGGGAAAGAAGGGAAAGAAGGGAAAGAAGGGAAAGAAGGGAAAGAAGGGAAAGAAGGGAAAGAAGGGAAAGAAGGGAAAGAAGGGAAAGAAGGGAAAGAAGGGAAAGAAGGGAAAGAAGGGAAAGAAGGGAAAGAAGGGAAAGAAGGGAAAGAAGGGAAAGAAGGGAAAGAAGGGAAAGAAGGGAAAGAAGGGAAAGGGAAAGAAGGGAGAGGGAAAGAAGGGAAAAGGGAAAAGGGAAAAGGACCCATTAGTGCCCCTGCTGCCTCCGTCTCCTGTGCCACAGCAGCTCAGACTCTCCCAGGGAGCCACAGACAGTGTCCAGGGAGATGGAGGCTCCTCTGCTCAAGGGCTCTGTAGCTCTGTCCCAGGCGGTTCCTGGGGAATCCTCCCTCCACCCACTCCTCTGCCCCCTCCCCTCGGCAGTCCAGGGGATTCACTCGACTGCCCCAGTGAGGCCACAGCTGGATCCAGTGCTGGGCTCCCCAGTTTGACAGACAAGGAGCTGCTGGAGAGAGTCCAGGGGAGGCTACAGAGATGCTGAGGGGCTGGGGGATTCCTGGGAC